TTGGGCTCAATTGCGGTTGTAAGTCAAGGACTATTTGTACCAACTGTCCTCCCTTACCAACTGCCTTGTTTAGCAACTGTTTGAAGTTACAGTGGTTGGAAAACAAACAGCTTTGTGATCGGTCCTCACATTTACGGCCATCACAGCATCCCATGATCATGTGATCACCATTTGCAAGTTTCACAATTGGCCTCCAAGAAGCAGAACCAATGGAGAATGCTGAAGGTTTTTAAGAAAAGATTGGTCTGAAATTGTAGTTTTTCCTGCTTTTGAGGAGGGGGTTGGACCAGAAGACCTCCATAAGGTCCAATTCTGTTGTTCTGTAAGTGAAATCACAAGTTGCAGTCACACAATGCCTCGCTTAATAAATCAGGGATTCATTTAATGATGGAAGCATAGTGATGTCATATGTTTTTTTGCTTAACAACCACAAGACTTAGCATTGGAATTGTTGATCCCAATGGTGGTTGGTAAGTGAGGATTATCTGTGGTGTCGCAAGTTAAAACACCCTGTCATTCCAATCACGTTATCTCAGAAATGCACATCCATATTTCTCAAATGGCAGCTCTGCTTTGTGTAGTTACTGAGACGCTTTTCAAAGAAAAAAGTAAAATAGCTCTAAATGTTGAAAGTAACTGACTGTAAAAGCACCAGGAGCAAGGTTATGTTTAATAAAAACAGGAACAGCGAAGAAAGAGTACTTACAAGAAATTCATCTCTAATAAAATACTTGGCCCTTGTAACTCTAGGATCCTCGACAGGTTCTGGTGTTGCTGCTCATTTTAAAAAAGTAAAGAACAAAAAGAAAAGGTTATCTTGCAGTAGGAATTACTTTTGTTTGGATTCACAGGAGGGATCAAAGAAAACATTTTAGTACCATTCCATGAAAAAGCACAAGCACTGCAAAATGCCTCTTTAAATATAGACTCACATTGTATGAAGGGCTGCCTATTAGAAGAGTGGATCAGTTGGAAACTGCATTTTCGTTATTATTGTTGCATTCAAATGGCTTTGACAAAACACCAACAAAGATACTTCAAGCAAAAGGGGGTTATTGTTTTGCATAATTGGGGTTTTTATTTTTTTGTAAGCTGCCTAGTATCACTGAAAGTGAGTGGGAAGCTATATAAATTCTCTAAATAAATAAATAAAAATAAATAAATCTCACTCAGACTCATTCATTTAAAATTAATTAAAATGTTTCAGATAAAGACCTGAAATTCAAACAACCGTAAACATATTATTTTAAACTATTTGTCCTATTTTTATTTTTTCATCTTAAAGAAATGTAAGATGAAGCATCAGTGAAGACAGGCTTGAAAATTAGTAGATGACTTAATTCAGGAGACCCCATCCTGGACAGCGACCAACTATTTATTTATTTATTTATTTATTTATTTATTTATTTATTTATTTATTTATTTATTTATGAGACTTATATACCGCTTTAAGTGCAAGCACTCTCTAAGCGGTGTACACCAGTAAGCAATGTATATATATATTTACATTGCCCCCAACAATCTGGGTCCTCATTTTACCTACCCCGGAAGGATGGAAGGCTGAGTCAACCTTGAGCCGGTGAGATTTGAACCGCTGACCTGCTGAACACAGTCAGCTAAAGTGGCCTGCAGTACTGCACTCTAACTGCTGCGCCACCTCGGGTCTTGAGTTGTTGGGAACTGGGCAAGTGCATGCATCCCCATTTGTGTGAGCAGCAGGCAGACACACACACGCACACTCCATTTGCATGAGTTGTGAGCCCGAGTGCCCACCGCTCGTGCAAACAGAGCTGTGCGTGCTTGCCTGCCATTCGCGAAGAACCATCCCCTCTCCCACCCATTCTCGCCAGTCTGCAAAGGCAGAAAGATTGGGGACCTCTGCGTTAATTGTTTGTCACTGAATTTTGGGCCTGTGATCTGGGATATTTCTGGAACCACAATTTAAACGTTGGGGAACTGTGTGTGACCTGCTTGCAGAGATCTCCAGCTTTCCATTACAGAAAGAGAGATGTAGTGAATAATCACTTCAAAAAGTCAACCAGCCAAGAAACTACATAGGACCATGAAATGTTACTGTAAAAGAGTACAACAAGAAAAGGATCTCACTGGATCGGAGACTGTTTTCCTCATGCAAAGCTGTTCCAAAAATTTTATAAGTTTTCTGTTAACAGAAGGAATCCTCTTGGTTAATATACTCTGCTCTGTCTCAGAGAGGAAAAATATCCAGGTTTTAGACTACAGTACTTTGATTGATGATACTTGGAAAGCTCTTCTTTGCTTACCCTGAAAATTATTGACTCTGAATAATTTTTAACAGAAGCCTATCAATGACAATACTCCATCCTGGATCAAGCATTTGTCTGATTTATACTGCAAGCGGTTTGAGAGAAAGAGAACTGCATCAAACATACTAACAACTGGTGATCACAAAAAAGAGTACAAACAATTGTACATTGTTTATAACAATTGTATATAACATTTATACATTGTTTATCACAATTTGTATACACAATTGTTACCACATAAATATTAGACAGGAAAAATCAATCCCTTCTTTCTTTCTCTCACTTTTTTCTTCTATAGTAACAGAGAAAAACATTTTTTCAAAGTGTAATGTCAACTTTCTTACCATCTTCTGGTGTGGTGTAACGAGCAAATTCTGGAAAGTAATCTTCAATTTTTGATTTGCCTGCCAAAACTTTCTCTGCTAGCAAATCTTGTTTGTTCAGGAAAAGAATAACTGAAATGGTCCGTAGCCACCTAGAAAAACAGGCCAATATATAGTTAAATGGCAATAAAACAAGGTATAAAGGAACATAAAGCAAAATCTTCTGGACATTATACTAACTGTTCAGAGTTGCTTGATAGTGAGAAGGATGGCATCTAAATTTAATAAATAAATATTTTTTAAAGAAACATACTCCACTGAAATAATTACACTCTCTTATAATTTATATTAGCACAGTCAGAAATAAACGTAAGCTAGCATTATGAATGTCATGATCAAAACTAAAGAGACGGACCTGTTGTTCCAGATACTTTTGAAGAGGTTTAATGCTTCTTGAAGCCGGTTGGTCTGATTGTCTTCTCGTATAACCATGTTATAGCTACTGCTGGCTACCACAAATATTATAGCAGTTACATCTAAAAAACAAAAAAGCAAAGGAAAACATCCTTAATCAATAATCTTTGCTTTGAATTTTTTTTTCTTTAATTCGGCTCCATAAAGAGAAAAAGATAGAAAAAGAAAAAACGGAACAGAACAGCTTAGGGAAAAGGTGAACAGTTCAAATGTGAGTAAATCACTTAGAGAAGAATAAGTTCAAAAGAACAAAAACAAGTAAGATACTGAGGGAGGCAGGGAGGGAGGGATGGATAGAAGGAGGAAAAATCAACTAAAATACAGCTCTAATATGACTGGAGGAAAAAAGATATTTTGTAGGATACATACTGTAGATCGATAGAAAGGAATAAAATATGCAGTTCAGTGTGTGTGTGTGTGTGAGTGAGAGAGAGACAGGGGGGGGGAGAGGGAGAGAGAGATGTATTGATGAATATCCATTCACCTTTTGTAATTTAATCACAAGTGATGGAAGCTAAACAAAACTTATAAAGACAGCTACATGCTGAAAACAAAGAACAGGACATTGCAAAACGAAGTGGAGGTTTGCAAGTGAGTTAAAGAGCTGAGCTGGTATGGAGACAACCTCAAAATGCCAAATGTCAAATAGTAGATATTTGGTATTTAGATAATTGGAAAGCTGGACCTTCCACATTAATATAATATACAGTTCATATTACATGGAAAATGTTCACGGTCTATCACAGGTTTAACAGATTCCCAATATTACCATTGAAACACTGGATCCATTTTCGACGTTCATCTCTTTGCCCACCAACATCAAACATACTGAAAAGAAAAGAAAAAAGCGAGGGATTCAGAACCAGGAAAGCAGGACTATTAAACACCCCTCCGCCCACCAACGGCTTGAGGTACAAAAATGCCATTAGAATTATGAAAAACAAGCACTGACAATATTTTAAATACAGGTAGTCCTCGACTTATTACCACAACTGAGTCCAAAATTTCTGTTGTTATGTGAGACATCTTTTAAGAATTTTGCCTCATTTTACAACCTTTCTTTCTTGTCAGAAAGTTGCAAAAGGTGATCACATGATCTTGGGACACAGCAAGGGTCATAAGTATGAACCAATCACCATACTTTTAAAATCTGATCCATTTTGGATCCATCTGAATTTAGGTCACATGATCATGGGGATGCTTCAAAGATTGTAACTGAAAAATGGTCATAAGTCACTTTTTTCGGTGCCGTTGTAACTTTGGTCACTAAATGAACTATTGTAAGTCAAGGACTATCTTTATATATTCCAAATGTCTTTGCTGCCTGCTCATTGAAGGTGTTCCCCCAATAGCTAATTTTGCAAGTTAAAAATTGAAGTACATTATTTGGGTGGTTGTGAAATTTTCATTATAGTTGCTGTAATTATGAATTTGCATTATTTGAAAATTTTATAGCTTACAATAAACTTGGTTTATTGTATACAAGAAAAAAGTTTGACAAGGTTTTTTCAGAAGTGGTTTGCCATTGCCTCGTTTCTAGGACTGAGAGAGAGTGACTGGCCCAAGGTCACCCAACTAGCTTTGTGCCCAAGGCAGGACCAGAACTCATGATCTCCTGGTTTCTAGCGTGAAACTTTAACCACTATACCAAACTGGCTCTCAATACTAATTTAGATGACTAAATAGAACAGAACTGAACAATGGTTTGAATTACCACAACATAGTTGTATTAAGTTTCTGTAGACAGGTTTCTGCAACATTTTGTTTTCCTCCAAAATGGGTCAATACAAGCACAGAGGATGGGGGGTGGGACAGGGTATTAATGTATTTCCTAAATTAGACTATTTGGATGCTGAAGTGCTTTATGTTATTCCAAATGTTGTTTGGCTATAAGCCATGGCTACATCCAGAAATACAGGAAAAACCCTGCTTGAATTGGCTTGTTTCTGAAGTTGGATCACTATGGTATGGAATATTTTGCACATTTTTACTATCTCACTGTTAGTTTTAACTCCCAGTTTCAATTTAAGAACTGCCATTAGTGATACTTACTGGAAATTTACTTTGTCCACTTGAAACTTGGTTTCAAATATTCCTGATGTCAGAACTCTGCATCTAAGAAGGTCCTTTTTAAAAAAGAGAATAAGAGATTTTTTTTCCCTTAAAAGAACATTCTATTTTAAAAAATACAAGCCTCAGGGAATAATGGGTCAATGAAATAACAACTTTAGGTTGTTTGTAAAAAAATGTACAGTAATATAAAATTTATACCACAGGTTTTTAATCTCATATTTTTTTCTTCCATTTCCTCCAGTCCTACCAAGCAACACAAAGTAGCTTATCATAATAAATAAAATTTGTAAAGTTAAGAAACTGTTTAAAATATACCAACATCTTGGAAACAAAACAATCAGTTTATAAAAACAGCAACCCAAAAGCTCAGAAAACCATGACACAAAGGAAAATTTGAAACCATGGAAAACAGTCACATTTCTAAAACTGCCTCTCATTTTGATGTGGATCATAATTAGAGATAAAAACTTCTGAAAAACGTGGAGCAAAAGAAGTGTAAAACTGAAATATAGATAATAGTTAATTTTTAATATCCCCTATGATAAAAAATATCTTTATTGTTTATAAAAGTTAATTGTACATGCTTAATAACAATAAGGTTTTCTCCCCACAAAATAGAAAAGCATATATGAACAATGATTATTCATTTATGGATCAGATTTTAATTTTTTTCCCCTGAATGGGTTCAAATGCAGCCTAATTTGAAAAAAAAGAGAAGCCTTTCTTCATTTTTGCTTTAGAAAAAAGCTGGCAGATAAAAAGTTAAAGTTGAAAACAGAAGACATCAGCAACATTATACTGGTCTTCCAAGAACCTGAAAAGAGGTAACAACACTATGTCTTGGGATACTCATCATCTATATATGGCGTTCTACGAATGACAGCAGTTTCTCCTGATTCTTCACCATATACTCATATTCATGGACTTCTGAAAACTGAAATTTTTTCCGTACTGGGATAAATGTCTGTGGAGATTCTCAGTCATCCAAGGTCATGGTTGTCCCAAAGGTGCTTTTTCAAATGACAACTGGACTTTGTTTTTTCCTTTGTTTCACTTCTCATCTAAGAAGCTTCTTCCGTTCTTCAGAAGAAGCTTTTTGGATGAGAAGCGAAATGTCTTCAAGGAAAAAACAAAGTCCAGTTGCCGTTTGAAAAAGCATCTTTGGGACAGTACTGGGGTAAGTTTTTCTACATTTCATATTAGTTCTTTTCTTTATTAGCTTCATTTTTAAACTCAATGTAATACACATCTTAATCATAATATGTACTACTTAAAAGAAAACATTCAGAAACATAGCATTGATTAGGGAGAAAGGGACTTGGGGTCATTTTTCCCTACTTTTTTTTCTACATACTCTCATCTTTAGTTTCTACTCATTTCAGGCGAACAACTAAATAAGTTTGGGAAGTCTCACAAAAGGGCCCTCTATACTACAATGCAAAGCAGGGGCTCAGAAAAATGAAGAGAATATGCAGGATAAAAAACAGAAGGAAGATATAATCTTAGCATTATGTGAAGCTATGGATTTGAGTCTAAAATGTATTCTAGAACACATAGAGACATGAATGTGGAACCTGCTAGAAAACATGGGAGGAGAAAGAAAAAGAAGGTAGATACTTTCAATCACAATAGAAACAGATGTGTTGTTGGAAAAGGGGCCAGGTTGGGGACAGATCATCTTTGATAAGGTCTACCTATCTATGTGGTTGCCAAGAGCCAACCGATAGTGATTTGATGGCACTTAACCAACCAACCCCAACCACCAACCTTCAATTCTTTAAAACAGTCACACCTTTTTTAGGATCAAATGGCAGCCACAGATGACAAACAATTTGGACAAAGATTTAGCTCCTTTAAAGAGCTGCAGAGTGAAATCACATTTACATGAGTTCTGAAGCACATTTATGAACAGACTCTGAAGTGCTGCATAGTTCTATTATTTAGGGCAGACATGTCAAACTCGCGACGTCACATGACGTCGCGCAACGTATCGGGTCGGTTTTGCCATTGCCGGCAATGGGTGCGGCTTCCACATGATGCGTCCGGCCTGCGGGCCGGCAGTTTGACACCCTGATTTAGGGTTTTAAAATTTAAAACTCGCAACCTGAATTGGGACTTAGAATAGGCTGGTGAGTGCTTGTAATCAACCAAGTTACTTGTGATAGGTCTGATTACTTTGTTCCAGACACTACTAACACAATGCTACTTTTACATTTTCAACAGAAGAAATCTACAGGACTAGATGTTTTAAAGAAACATAACTTCATTTTCTCAAAGACATTTTACTCACCTGGTCAGACGGTGTGTATTCATTTTGTTTGACTATGTCAATCTTGTCTAGGAAACTAGAGGAAGAAAATATTTCCACCAATAAGTTTACACAAGAACATAACAACAATTTCTTGTAATTTTAAAAAGAGTCTATATTGAAAAGCCTATGGCAGGACTACAATCCTCCAGCTTCTAGATCATTGTAAATAAGTAATTAAATAAGTTTCCTTTGGTAACCACATCAATAATATAGTAGTAGCCCTGTGCCTTTAATCACTTCAGGTAGTCCTCAACTTATGACAGTAATTGGGACCAGAATTTCCACCGCTATGCAAGCGGTGAGTTGTGCTTGATTTTAAAACTTTTTTTGCCATGATTGTTAAGTGAATTACTGCAGTTGTTAAGTGAATCGTGAAGACATTAAGTCAATCTGGCTTCCCCCCACTGAATTTGCTTGTCAGAAGCACAGGCGGGGATATATTTCAAATGGCAGTCACATGACCCCGGGATGCTGCATATATACATGCTGGTTCCCAAGCACTCAAATGCTAGCTATGTGACCAGTTGTAAGTCACTTTGTTCGGTGCCACTGTACATTTGAACGGTTGCTAAACAAGTGGTTGTAAGTCAAGGACTACATGTACATCGATCTGGTTCTCATTCCGATTATTAGAAGCCGCAAAAAAGTGCTTGTTCAAACTAATTCAAAATAACATTCAAGGATACTGCAAGCTAAGCAGCACATGGATGGTACCCTGGTTCATGTGTATTCTATTAGTCGATTCCATACTGAGTCACCCCATTTTATCAAAAGTTAGGACCATTCCCCCAAACGTCTTCATGTTTATTAACAATTTTTTAACTTGGGAATCTAAAGAGGGTGGAATTTGTATAAGAATACAGGGTAGCAAAAATACATAATAATAAATAAATCACCATTATTTATGCCAATTATGAGGGGTCTACAATCCAAATATCTTTGTTACCTTGCTTCTACGTAATGACTGAAGAGATGCTTAAAACATTACACGGAGAGAATAAGTAATCTAATGGACAAGATGTGGGACTTACACCATGAGCAATTTGAAGCAAAAGAATAAAGTAATATTTTGTTCATATGGCATCCAATTATAAACGAATATCCCATCAGCTCTTCATTAATCAATGTTAATTTTTTTCAGCTGCAGATTGCCACAGACTACCATAAATATATTGATTAGATTTGCTTTCTTGCAGGCTCTGGAGATAACTACTTCTTATTTATTAATACAAATATAAATTAAAAGGAAGCTAATGGGGGTCTGTCCAGTAATGCCATTCCCTGCCCACTGAGGAATTAGAGGAATTACACCATTCTAGACTCCTCTTCTACATTTTGAGGATCCATGCCATATTCGGTTTGGCTCCAGCAGACCAGACTCAATGTGTAGCCAGAAGACATGAGTAATGAGGGAATTTTTAGTTTATGTGCTGTTCTCGGGTGCTACAAATCCTCCCTGAACTTTCAGGCACTGATGAAAGACAGCTTAACATAGTAGCTTCAGAGAGCGAGCGAGCGAGCGAGAGAGAGAGAGAGAGAGAGAGAGAGAGCGAGAACGAGAGAGATTGGCATATGTAAAAGAGGAATCTATGGAAAAATTAAGTTTGCTGAGTAATTTCTTGGAACTGTACACAACCTGGATAATATCTAGACCAGTGGTTCTCAACGTTTGTGTGACGGCGACCCCCGTCACACAAACGTTCTGCGCATGCGCGGCGGCGCCCCCATGCGCGGTGCGCATGCACAGCGGCGGCCCCTGAGGGGAGAAAATGGTGGATCACCTTCTTTGGCGACCCCCAAAAAATGGTCGATCGACCCCAAATGGGGTCGCGACCCATAGGTTGAGAACCGCTGATCTAGACCTTGTCACAACAGGTACCACAATTGTCTGAATATGGAAACAGCACATTGGGGTTGGCAATAATGCATATACAGGTAGTGATCAACTTATAACCATTCTTTTAGGGACTGTACGAAGTTACAACATCACTGAAAAAAGTGACATGATCAGTTTTCACATGACCATTGCAATATCCCCATGGTCACATGACCAAAAGTTTGGACATTTGGCAACTGGCAGTGTCCCGGAGTCATGTGATCACCTTTTGCAACCTTCTGACAACAAAGTCAATGGGGAAGCCAGATTCACTTAACAACCCCATTACTATTTTAACAAGTGCAGTAATTCACTTAACAATTGTGGCAAGACCAGTTGCAAAATGGGGCAAAACTCATTTAACAACTCTATTGTTTAGCAAAGGAAATGTTGGGCTCAATTGTGATCATAAGTCAAGGACTGCCTGTAGAAAGACCAAAAAAAAAAAAAAAAAAAAGTTAAATGGCCAGTATTTCTCAAGATTGTCAATTTTTTTTAATCTTGGAAGATGCTGATACATGGATCATAGTGCAAAATTATGTGAACGTGCCTGCCGATTCCCGATTTAGATTTATCATGTATCATAGGTTATGGAGTTAAAGGTTAATTATGATATTTTTTTCCTCTCTTTTTTTTTCTTTTTTCTTAATTATTATATATATATTTTTATTATTAACCCTGTATTCTGCTCTGGGAAGTGAAGGGAGGGGGGTTGGGGGTGGGAGGGAGGGTAAGGGGTTTTTTTTCCTACTTTAAAATTTTATTGTATTTTTATAAATGATTGTATGTTTAAAAAATAAAAAAATTTTCAATAGATTTATCATGTATCTTTGTTTTCTTCCTTTAATTTTTATCGTATTTATACATAAAGTACATAGGTATGGACCCAATAAATGTCATATTTGTCTTTCTATCCATCTATCTGGACTTACATAGTAAGAAAAGAAGAGTAAGGGTAATTTGTTGATCTATAAAATCTTAACAATATATATTTGTCAAAGTATTAACAAAAATATAACAATGCAATGACAAATAATTGAGTTTCAGTTGTAAAACTATATGAATCATATGAGGCTTATTTCCAAAATTTCAGACTGAAATTACACAGTATTATGCATGCTTTTTCAGAAGCAAATCCGAGGGAATTAAGCAAAACCTCCTCTTATATAATATTGAATAATGTTGCTACCTTAGCTTCAAAACCATACTTTTGATTTCTGGAATTTCCAAATGACTCTTCTTTCATATTTACAAGCCCATCAGTTAATTAGCAAGATTTTTTATCACCAACACCTTGTACCAATGCCTTTATTCCTGAAATTCTTGATTTGAATGTCCTAGAAATTATGCCAATTTTTTTTTTGGGGGGGGGGCAGGGAGACTGTATCTTTTTCTGATTCTCCAATAGGTTTCAATTCACTTGTTAATTTACATGGAAGGAGGGAGAGGGAGAGGGAGAGGGAGGGGGAGGGAGGGAGGGAGAGATTTGTCCGAAATGGTGTAGGGTTTCCTGCCTGAGCAGGGGGTTGGACTAGATGACCTCCAAGGTCCCTTCCAACTTTACTACTACTACTACTACTACTACTACTACTACTACTACTACTATTATAGAAGAGAAGAAAAGAAAAAAGAAAAGAAAAGAGCAAAGCTTGGATGTAACAGCAGGTGGCAGCACCTAGCCAACTTTTGCTGATGTCAAAAAATCAGAGAAGGGTTGGACCTGGATAGTGAGTGGATGAGAGGACACCAAAAAGGAGTGGAACTCTACGCTTGGATGTAATAGAACTCATGAAGAGGGCAATAGAAGAAAGCAAGCCATTTCCACATTGCTCCAAACAAGACTATCCAGATGTCCCTACAGTCAACCAGAATTACACTTGATTCTTGCAATTCTAACAGGATTTCTATGGGTGATTGTTGGGTGGCACTACCTGAATAAACTAGCAGTCCAAATTAAAACTACTCCTCAAGTGTCATTATGTGACTATACCTACAAAGATCAGAACAGTGCAAATCAAGGTATTTTCTATGACACTATGAAAGTTAAAGTTGGGCTTTGAAGAAGCAGGATAGGAAGAGCATTGACACATCTGAATGTTGGGATTGGACAAGACTCCTGAGAACACTGTGGAACAAATGAATCAACCCAGAATTCTCACTTGAGGTGCAAATGATCAGGTTCAAATTATTGTACCTCACAGTTCCTGGAAAAGGCTCTAATGTTGGAAAAGGTGGAAAGAAAAAGAAGAGGATGATCAACAGCAAGGTAGGTAGACACAGTACAGTATTGATGAGTACACATTGGAAGACCAGGTTAGGATAGTTTGTTAAGGAGAAAATCAATCTATGTGGTTGCTAAAAGCCAAAAATAACTTGATGGCACATAACCAATTAATCATTTAATCCAGGGGTGGGGAACGATGGCCCTTTTATGACTTGTGGACTTCAACTCCCAGAATTCCCCAGCCAACCCTGCTGTCTTAGAGCAGGGGTGGGGAACTATGGCCTTTTTATGACTTGTGGATTTCAACTTCTGGGAGTTGAAATCCATAAGTCATAAAGGGGCCATCATTCCTCACCTCTAATTTAATCAATAAAATCAATGGACAAATATTTCTGGGGGAGCTGAGTAGATAATTTTTAAGTGGAGAAGCAAAACTGGCAAATAGCAATAAACTCTGCTAAAATATGGCAATTATTAATGAGCTTTGAATGGATATGCTAGACTCGTGCATTTCAGCTATACTAATTCAAACATAACAATCATTACTGGTCTGCTTTTTCACAAGATTAAATATTCAATATTTATTTCTAGCCAATTGCCTAGAAATATTGTTTTTTGCTACTCATGCCAATGGTTTCAGATACACTGGCACAGCTAGAGAACGTACAAGAAATTTCCAAATAGCGAAGTAGGAAAAAAAAGGCAAAACTGTTCTGCAGTTGTTTATACAGACTATTTTTAGGTTTGTGATTTCCTTGAAAAACACCAGCTACCCGGGCCAGGCAGCAGAGCGCGGCCGTGTTGAATGTGGTCTTCAATGGCTACATGCATGCTAGGTAAAACAGATCAGAATGCCATAAATATGCCTTCTTTCCCGAAAAACAAGTCCTGGCATTTCAACCTTCCTGCATTTAAAAGTAAAACTTTCAGAGAA